TTTAAGTTATTAGATTTTCAAGTTTCCTTGACTCTCTTCCCGAAACCGCATTAGAAACCTCAGTCAATTATTTTAACACATCAAATACCCAGAAACATTTTCCCTCATAAGAGTGAGATAATTATCTTCAATAATTGCATATGCTCTCCACTATGTTTGTACCGAGTCTGCATAATGTATAAAACATCGGTGGTGATGGGTCATTGAATTTTACTATTAAACTCTTCAAGGTCTGATTTATTATAAATTGTTTGTCACATTTCCCTTTTGGAAAAGCTATTACTGTTAAGCAGACAATGATCTTTCATTGTCAAGTGTTAGAAAAGATAATGATTTGCTAAATCCATATTACCCAACCATCACATTTATGCAAAACAGCTGCTGAAGCAGATAACAAATCCAAAAAAGGATAAAACGTGGAAAGTGCAAACATCACATATTTTTCAAAAACATTAAACCTAAGCAAGAGAAATTGTCCAGAATACTAATAGATTATACTTCATGACCGACCCTGAAGTTGAGCTTATATTTAACCTTCATTGAACTAGTATCTGTAACAACAAATAGCTGCGAAGGGATAAAAACCCATGAAGCATACATGTTTGAGTCATGTTTGGCTCTTCTCCTATACAACTTAGATGCATTTAACTTTAAACACTATGATTAGTCTCAGGGAGAACAACTCAGAGTATTTAAAATGATGTGTATGCAAAAACCATCGCAAATTTGGGGCTGGAGGAGTAGCAAGTTTTATGGGCCTGTGCTCACTGGAAGCATCATTTCATATACTGAGATAAAACAGAACCAAAAAGCTGTAGACAGCCTTTGAATTGCTGACTCTGACAAATACCCTAGAAGATATATTTTGGTGTGATCAAGAGGCAATCCAATTCCATAATAACCAGCAGTGGGACCATCATACTGTAATCCTGGATTTTCTGACCTTTAAGAACAGTCCACAAACATCTACACTTCAAGCAAAATTTATTTTCCCTTCATGTAACCCATAATCCTATTTCGCCATTACTAGAAAATAATCTATTCCCGTACAAGTGGCTCTTGAGTTCAGTTGGGATTTGTTAGAATACGTAACAAACAAAGCTTCTTTAATGTTTAGCATACGCCGCTCGTTATTATACAACAAATAAACGCAGCGTACGATTTGCAAAGGATGTAAACCAAAATCCGCTCTCTCCCAAGCACCTACAGGTGCTAAATTCTGCAAGCAGCGCTATCGAAATCAAACGGGACTAGTCCCGTAAGTGAAGAGAAGCACGTGCCTAAAATGTGCAAAGTATCAGGCCTGCACACTCGACTGGGAGATCCACTGACTTTGAACCCCAAGTCCTAAAGGCCCGATTTAGGGAAGCACTTATATACAGACCTAAAATTAAGCATGTGTGTAAGTTTTCCCAAACAGGGACTTTTTTTGAGGGCCAGTGGGCGCTGTCTGATGCACTCTGCTTGGTGTCCTCCCTTCGCTCCTGTCCCTGTTTTATCCTTTATTTGTCCCACAAATTCAGCCTCTGCATACCCAATACCCAGAGCGGGTAACTTGTTTTGTGGCCATAAGGCCCATATTCCTCTTATGCATCAAACAGACCTGAATAGGGCTGAATGAGGAATGAAAGCCAAGCCACGTGGGCAGATGCTTGCACCCATGCGGAGCCCTTCTCTTTGCAATGGGGCTTATTAGGATGACCAGGATTTAGTCCCATAAATGAATTGCAGGACCGAGCATCAGGATTTCACCATTAGGTGTTTCCCCCTGCGGGAAATGTTATTAAGGGGATTTTCCCCTTGTTCATCTCCTGCCCCAGCTCCTGTGCCAGGGGGGCAAAACGCCATGGTGCAAAGTAAGGTTTGGCGGCGCTTGTTTTTTTTCCAAACCTCACCGGAGACGCATTCAAACCTCTTCCCTACGGCTACGAACGTCCTTGCGCCGCGGCACGGGGCTGCAAACACGGCACGGCCGCGCGGGGGGTGCGAAGGCTCGCGGCAGCGCACCCCCGGGCCACAGCATCCCGATGCCGACCCCGCGAACCCTGGGGCCATCGGGGGTCACGTCTAGTCCGACCCCCGCCGGAGCCAGGGTCATCCCAACCCAAACCACCCTCCACGCCGCGAGCAGCTCATCACCAGGGGTCCTGGTTCCTCCCGATTTAAAAAAATCCCCAATTTTTGGTTAAAAAACCCCTCTGCCCAAATCCCTTTTTTTTCCGTGATTTAAATGAAACAACACTAATGCATAGAGAGAGAGACGTATAGTGGTGTTTCATTTTAATCATGGAAAAATGTGGATTTGGGGTTAAAATGAAACGCCGCTATCTATCTATATCTCTTATGTTAGTGGTGTGTTTCACTTAAGTTGTAGAAAAATGGGGATTTGGGGTTAAAATGAAACACCGATATATCCATATATGCAGCTATCTATATAGATATATCTATAGATACGCGTGCGTTAGTGGTGTTTCACTTAAATCATGGAAAAATGGGGATTTGGGGTTAAAATGAAACGCCGCTACATCTACATCTATCTGTGTGTGTATCGCTGTATCTATATATCGCGATATCTCTGTCTGTGCCCTGGCGCTGTTTTACTTAAATCACGGGGAAAATGTGGGTTTGGGGATGTTTTTTAAGCGAAAATCGAGGTTGTTTTTTTTAACTCGACCCCTGGTAACCCCAATCCCCCGAACCCTTCCCAAAACCGCCCCCCCTTCACCCGCACAGCAAGGTGTGACTGGGGGCGACGTCACGCGCGGACAGCACACCCAGCCCCCGCGCGCTGACGTCACGCGCGGACAGCAGGGTCGGCACCGCCCGCCCGAGGGAACAAGAGAGATTTGGGGACAGACGATGGGGATTTGGGGGGAGGAAGGAACAGACCTTGTCCGGCCGCCACCGCCCGCCCTCCTGCCTCGGCCGCCCCGAAACCCGGCAACTTCCGGGG